GAAATACACATAGTTAACAGGTTCACAGGTGATCCAGGAAAAAATAATGTAGACTACAAAATAACATTTGGTGAGTACATACATGTAGTGTTCTTAAAACTTAAACCCTAAGACAAACTACATGGAAGTAGCACAAGAGCACACGTTCTGTAAATTATCACTGAAAGGAGGTCATATTTATATATATTTATTATGCAGAAAGTTGTGTTTAAGGGGCAAATTGTTTGAATGTCTTGATAGATTAATAGATAAAAGGTGTGCTCAAAATAGTACTGGCCTGTTAGCTTAGAGAATTTTTTGCGAAACTTCTTTAGTTGAAAGATGAGTTATACATGTGTCTATAAGCCCAGTGAGAAAAGAGCTTGTACGCTTCAATATGATCTTTTCATGGTACACTGTACCTTGATGATCTTGGACACCGACAGATGTACATACAAGTAACTTTGTCTTCAGATGTTCTTCTCTAGCAAAGCTCCTCATTGTTGGAAAATTATAGGCATACCTTGACGATAAGAGTTTCTAATATGACCTGTTTTTAGCATTATTCAAATGTACTTCACTTTTAAGTAAAGGTTGCTTGATGGCACATAATTTGTTTAAAAAAATGGAATTTTAAACAATTAACATATAGCAGACATATTAGATCCCAGGAAAGGGATTGCATTATTATTATTAACCAAATTTGAAGGATGTCCCTGTGCTAAAAAATTATTGTCCAGAGCCATTTATAATTTTTGCATACATTGGTCTATGATTTTTTTCTGTAAAGTGGCATGCACTTTTAAGCTGCATACAAGTTTGCAAAAATGCGACAGGAGGCTTTCTAGCCCAGCTGTTTCCCTCAAAGTTGCTTAGTGCAATCTTTTGCCTAGAAACTTAACTTCGCTATTAATAAACTGTTCAGAAGTAGATTTTGAAGAAAATTATTTGTCATAGGTTCCCTTTCAAACACTGTTAATAAATTGTTAATAATTATTTTCTNAAGGTGTGCTCAAAATAGTACTGGCCTGTTAGCTTAGAGAATTTTTTGCGAAACTTCTTTAGTTGAAAGATGAGTTATACATGTGTCTATAAGCCCAGTGAGAAAAGAGCTTGTACGCTTCAATATGATCTTTTCATGGTACACTGTACCTTGATGATCTTGGACACCGACAGATGTACATACAAGCAACTTTGTCTTCAGATGTTCTTCTCTAGCAAAGCTCCTCATAGTTAGAAAATTATAGGCATACCTTGACGATAAGAGTTTGTAATATGACCTGTTTTTAGCATTGTTCAAATGTACTTCACTTTTAAGTAAAGGTTGCTTGATGGCACATAATTTGTTTTTAAAAATGGAATTTTAAACAATTATTAACAAATAGCAGACATAAGATCCCAGGAAAAGGATTGCATTATTATTATTAACTAAATTTGAAGGATATCCCTGTGCTAAAAAAAATTGTCTAGAGCCATTTATAATTTTTGCATACATTGGTCTATGATTTTTTTCTGTGAAGTGGCATGTACTTTTAAGCTGCATACAAGTTTGCAAAAATGCAACAGGAGGCTTTCTAGCCCAGCTGTTTCCCTCAAATTTGCTCAATGCAATCTTTTGTCTAGAAACTTAACTTTGCTATTAATAAACTGTTCAGAAGTAGATTTTGAAGAACATTGTCATAGGTTCCCTTTCAAACACTGTTAATAAATTGATAATAATTATTTTCTGACACTTGCCTACATGTAACCATCAAGAAAGCTTCCAAAATCATGATAAGGTCTATTGGAACTCCTTTTTGTCAAGTTTGGGGTGGACCATTGGGCTTTTGAGGAGGGTGTGGGTGACACGGTACATGTACATACACAAGTTTTCCTCTTTACTTTTTCATGCACTAGCAATTTTTTTTCTCAGGACATGTGTACAGCTGTAGTATGCATGGTATTTTTTCCTCTGTGTAACATGCTTTTTATTGGCTCTCTGAATGACTGTGAATTTTTTTTGCCAGTGGTTGTGTGCATGAGTGTTTTTTTTTTGGTACAAGTATGTTNTCTGTGTAACATGCTTTTTATTGGCTCTCTGAATGACTGTGAATTTTTTTTGCCAGTGGTTGTGTGCATGAGTGTTTTTTTTTTGGTACAAGTATGTTTGCAGTATTTTTTTTACAAAATTACCTACCCCTCTCAATATTCAAGTGGTCCACCCCATAGTGAAAGCCCTAGGAGAGTTCTGCTGGGAATTTAAAATAGTAAGGTTCAATGGAAGTTCTGTTTTTATGGCCCAGGTAACTCTATAGATGTGGCAAGCAACCATGAATGCACAGGACGCTATAGTTTTCATTCAGTTCAGAGCATCAGCCATATGTTTCACTAATCCGCTGACGACTGGTAAATATGTTGGTATATAATGACTACAAAGAGTAAAGTTCTCCAGCTATGTGAGGTAGAAATTTATTCACGAGGTAACCCAACATAATACTTTATTTTTATAAATTTACTTGTAACTTAGCATAGTCAGGTTGAATGATACACACGCGGTCAAGAAATGCTTACTGCCTATTGGCACCCAAGGAAACTGTGATTGCTCTTTGACATCCAGGAAATCTTTGGATTCCTGATACATGTATGAGATAAACGTGGAGTACAAACCAACACTTTACGGACCTGGAGACATTTTTCAGTATATCAAACAAGAGAGACAGTGTTTCATTGGCATATCCAAACACCAAGAAGAGAATTGAAAATACGATGTGCAGTGGAGCATTTTTGACAAAGTTTGAGGTGTTTGGATATAGCTGATGAAACACTGTCTCAAGTGCTTAAATGATATATCTTCTCAATTGAAACAAAAAATAAGGAGAAAATGGAGAAGTAAAATCATCAAAATCTATGCAATCAGCTATGCAGTCCCTCTTCATGGTTGTGATTTTC